GGGGTTCCTGTACTCTTATAATAGTGTATTGTATATGTAATAAAGTACGGGGTGCCTGTACTCTGGTATGTTTGAAGTACTGGGGGTTCCTGTACTCTGATAATAGTGTTTATATAGAGTATGGGTTTAATGTACTCTAGTATGTAGTATGATTTCTTGTATTCTGATTATATATAAAGTTTACTGAAACAATTTTAAGTTGTGAAATAAAGGTGTTGTCTGATTTTTGAAAGAACGATTTAAAGATTGTTTTTTTTTGTAACTTTTACAATAATTAAGAAACACTTTTATGAGATTGAGGTGGAATAAAACTTTAATTAATATCCATTGATATAATGAGCTTTGTTATATGGGGGTTTCACATGTAACGAACCTCGATATAACGGCATAGTCTCACATATAGTTTGTTATATGGGGGTTCCACATCTAACGAACCTCGATATAATGGCATAGTCTCACATATAGTTTGTTATATGGGGGTTCCACATCTAACGAACCTCGATATAATGGAAGCCTATAACTTTACTGTACTGTACGTGAGACCTGGTTCAAGGAATGGTAATTATGAGGCCAATAACAGCTGAACTTTGACCTAAAATGAGAAAGTTTTAATTAGGTCATAAACAGCTGAACTTTGACCTAATATATGTGAAGGTGATGGTGTTATTGTGGTCTTGGCTACATCACTGTGGTAAGATGCTATAGAGGTCTGTCTTGGATCACGTATCATGTACAGGTGTTGTGAGCAATAGTTTAGTTTTATCACCTGTTAATTGTTTCGTTCTTCTTGTGTTCATAGTTTATTGTTTAATGGATTTACCTGAAGAATATTAAGATGCCATAATTTATCTCACTTGCTGATGAAAATGTTATAATGCTAACCTAACCCAACCCAACCCAACCCAACTCAACTCAACCCAACCCAACCCAACCCAACCCAACCCAACCCAACCCAACCCAACCCAACCCAACCAAACTCACTCAACCAAACTAAACCCAATTGATCTTGAACCACCCTAACCTAACCCCACCAGGTACAATAGTATAGGGTGTCTAATCATCAAGTGAAATAAACAATGAGGGTGTCTAATCTTCATGTGACCCCAGAGCCACTATGCATTAGGTTAAAAACTGTACATAAAATGAATCCTTAAAACATTTCCTTTGTCTATTTTCACAAAAGTATTTCATTATATTATCCAGATTATATTTAACTAGTCATTATTATTACAGTGAAACTTTTTTTTTACGGATATTTAGTTATTTTAATTTTTATTTTGGCTAAACTTGAGTTGTGTACATAAGTTTGAGTCATTATTCTGTCTTGGTGATAAAGGTGAACTGTATTATGTTATGGTTAAGCCACCCTAGTTTATTTTACCTGATGGTTTAATACACAAATGTTAACTTAATCTAACCTAACCTTAATCAACCCTCACTAACGGAGGTCAAATGTGGAAAGGATCTGGCCGTGTATTTTGACAGCTAACTGAAGTTCTCGGGCCATTGCGAGAAGAAGGTGAATCAGACGACTAAGCTAATAGGTCCGTCCTGCCACAGCTTAAGGTTAAAGAGGCCACAGGTTTAGAAAATTATCAGGACAATTTTTTTTATTTGAGTGAGAGTTGTGAACTGTTGTAATAACCTGCCAGTGTGTGTTGTGATGGGGCCTAGTGTGAGTCCAGGTACCATAAAGATGTTGTAATCATCAGGTGAATTAAGGAAGAGGACTGACTTACCTCCATGTTGTCCCAGGTATCAGGTACATCAATATTAACTTGTTTATATTCACAGTTTAGTTCACCTGATGATTACAACACTTGAGGGGTGGAGAGGGTTAGGCTAGGTAAGCATTAAGGTGAAATAAACTAGGGTATCTAATGTTCAAGTGAATCCATAATAATAGGCTCCAAACACTTTCATCAATATTAAGTCACGTAAAAACTGGGCAGCGACGACACCGCTCCTTGGTGATGATGCCGACCAACCTACCTTGTAACACAGACCCCATAGTATGTGTCTTGCTTAGGGTCCTCTGCAAGTGTTTTATCTCCTTCGAGTACAGTGAAAATCTCCATATAGTGAACCTCTCTATATAAAATCAATTATATGGAGGTTTCACATTTAACAACCCTCGATATAGTGGACTTTCATATCTATATACTAGTTCGTTAAATGGAAGTTTAACATCTAACGGACGCTCGATATAATGGACTTTCCTCCCCATATAGTTCATTAAATAGAGGTTTTATGTTTACCCCGAGCGAGTGTTGGTCACAACACTCGCTGGTCAATACTGTTTATGTTAAGTATTGTTTTGAAAAGTATGTATACATGAAGAAATATGAATTCTGTATGTATGATTGCACACATATATACATAGTACACATGTAAACGACACGGTGTTAACGAAGTGGTTCTTTATTAATATGGATCATGAGTTTAGTTGTGTAAGGTAAAAAGTCTCGATAAGGTTTAAAGTGAGTCATTCTGTGTCTGTGATTTATTGATAATGACGAATAATACAAAATTTTAAGTTTATAACTGCAAGAGTGTTTTATTCCCCCTGTGTGTGTGTGTGTGTGGAAAACAATTGATTTAACACACCCACAACACCCACAACACACCCACAACACACCCACAACACCCCTACACACCCACAACACCCCTACACATCCCCCACACCCCCACGACACAAGACTGATGTGACACCAGCATTGGCAATTATTTCTGTTTGTTAAAGTGTTGTGTTATTTAGCATTCTCTTACACCACAAAATACTGGTAACTTCCTTGACTCATGGCTACAGGTCCATATAGAGGAGGACAAGTACATAAGGAGGTAGATATCGTGTACTAATATATAGACACAGTATATAGTTTAGATAAGTAGATAGATATAGTTAGATAAGTAGATACTGGGTAGATATACGTACAGTATACGTACTGTAGTTAGATATAAAGATACAGTACTTTGTATAGTTAGATGTACAGATAAATATTTATTCAGTAAAATTGTTTTAAAGGTGTATTATTGATTTAGCATGTACTGGTGCAGTATATATATAGTGTAGGCATACAGTAGTGTATGCATACATGGTGTAGGTATACAATATGCATACACAACAGGGGCAGATCCAGGACTCTCAAAAGGTGGGTCAAAAGAAGAACTTTGTGGGTGGAGGAACATGGTGAGCACAGTGACCCCACACAGTTTGGTATTTTGAGGCCATGTGCACTTGTTAGATATTCTGAGGTCAATAGTAATTACTTGTTACTATATAAAAATACTTGAGTACAATACTGTATTGAAGAAAAGTACTGGAATTATCTGGTGAAAAGGGGGGGTCTGGACCCAAGGACCTCCCCTGAGTCCGCCCCTGCACAGTGTAGGTTTAGAATATGCATATGCAGTGTAGGTATACTGAACTACTATGTACTTACACAGCAAATGTATACAATTATTTAAAGAATATTATTAGAGAAAGGAAGGCTAGTATTGGTAGGAGATAAATCGTGGTGAAGTTTACCTCCGAGATTATTATAAGGTATTGGCTGGTAGGGTTAAGACCGAGATAAGGAAAGCAAAGAGGAATAATGAACTGAAGGTAGTGTGGGGTTTCGGGATGTTGTCTCACACTCAGGATGGGTTGGAGAAAGGAAACTCACAATGCGCTCTCTGTGTATATATTGTGTTGGATGTACAGTGCAGCTTGGTGCTGGGAAGCTGCTGCGTGGTTAGGAGCTTGCTGGTTCGGGAGCGTGGAATAGAGAGAGCTGGTTGGTGAGGAGCTTGCTGGTTCGGGAGCGTGGAGTAGAGAGAGCTGGTTGGTGAGGAGCTTGCTGGTTCGGGAGCGTGGAGTAGAGAGAGCTGGTTGGTGAGGAGCTTGCTGGTTCGGGAGAGAGAGCGTGGAGTAGAGAGAGCTGGTTGGTGAGGAGCTTGCTGGTTCGGGGCGTGGAGTAGAGAGCTGGTTGGTGAGGAGCTTGCTGGTTCGGGAGCGTGGAGTAGAGAGAGCTGGTTGGTGAGGAGCTTGCTGGTTCGGGAGCGTGGAGTAGAGAGAGCTGGTTGGTGAGGAGCTTGCTCGGAGGAGGTGTTGCGTGGCTCAGGTAGAAGAAGGGAGGTCACAGCGAGGTGAGGTCTTATGTAGCGGAGGTAGGCGTGGCTTGATGGCTGACCTGCGCTTTGTCAGACGTCGCTAGTAGCCGACCTTAGACCACGAGGCATTGGCTGGGTAACCCGAAAAGGGATCAGCCAGTCAGCGACAAACGGCAGTTGTAGTTGTAGGGGAAATTTCCACTGCAGTAGCAAGGGAGGCGAAGTCAAACCCCAAGGGATTCTATCAAACGTATCAAACTAAAACATGAGAAAAGATTGGACCAATAGTCAGATACCGGCGAGCTAACTGATAACGACAGAGAAATGAGCAATAATCAGAACAGATATGCTAACCTAACCTCACTTGAAGATTAATCACTCTAATGCTAACCTTAATAAAAATATTAATAACTCAAATTAATAAAAATAAAATAAATAATAGTACTTGTAATAACACTTGTAAATATCACGTTAAACTTATAAATGGACAGTGAGGATGAAATGTTCACTTGTGTCTTGTTTTTAGTAAACTTGACACATGACCTTAGTGTCCTCGGGCGTGTACCTGGTGGGGCAGGTAAGAGAAGGGGTTGGGGGCTATCTGCCACACAACCTTTGACTCTCACTAAAGAAGCGACCAAACATCGTTTTAACCATCTGTGATTGGTTAAACCTTATGACGTCATTATACGTCATCGTCCACCATCAAACATATTGTTTATTTTACGCTTATTTTATAATTATCTTCCATTTTATGACATATATATTATTAACTTATTTTATTATCTCAATGTAAGGCTTCAAATAGAGGGAAATTTATGAGTATTTAGCTGATATAAACTCAAAATAAAATAAAATCCAGCAACCAATGAGAGTGGATGTTTGTTGGGTGACGTAAGCAGCCTCAGAGCGTCAGTGTGGCGGCCGACTTAATAGTGTGTGGTCCTATAGACTAACACAAGTGAGTTAGTGTCTACATTATATATGGGAAGGTATTTTAATCTGTTATAGGAGTTACAGTACCTTCCTTGACCCGACATATCAAACTATTTCTTATATTAATCTAGTTTATGTTTTAACTACTTATTACAGGGATGCTGTTTTTAATCAGCTCAGAAGGGACCCCATACACAAGGGGTTAAGAGTGTTCAGTTAGTCGAGTCACCCTTGACCTGACCTGACCTCACCATTACAGTACAATTCTAAAAGTTTTGTGTCAGTCAAAATATTCAGGTTAGGTCAGGATTTGGGTCTGTTATCGTCAGGTTAGGTTAGGATATGGGTGTTAAGTTATCAGGTTAGATTAACATTCGGGTTTTAAATCATCAGTTGAAATAAGTTAGGTGAGTTAATCTTCTGGTGATATGAACATTGTCTCTGGCTGGGCGTCCAAGTTAGGTCAGAAAATTTTTTATAATAAGTATTTTTTTTGTATAAATATCATGTAGAATTTACCTTACACCTTTATTTTCAGTTACTGTACAACACAAAGATGAAACACTACAGAACGTGGGTGTTTGTGTTGCTGTGGGCTGCTGCTGGTACAGGCGGCTACCAGTGGGACGCCCTGCAGCTCCACCCACAACACCTGGCCTTCTTCTTCAACAATAACCCACAGGTGGCCGAGGAGTGTCGGAGAAGTGCGTCTTGTCCCTATAAGGTGAGATGATGCTGTACAGGGTGACCCAAAAAATGTGTTGTACAGGGTGACCAAAAAAATGTGCTTCTGTAATAATGAGCAATATATGTACTGTATTTCTTTTATCAGCAATACAGTATACAGTAGTTTATAAATGAATGTATTGTTGTATCAGTTAAATTTTCTGTTTCTTATAGATGCACCTTGACCGGCCAGCGTGTTGGGGTTACGAGGACGACTGTACGACTGACCGAGCGTACAGTCACCCGTCCTGTCCCGGTGATGCTAGAGGTCAGTTTGTCACCTTAATTAGACCATAATCACCCATTTATGTGTTGAACAAGATGATCCAGTTAATTTACCTGATGATTGCATACCCAACTTAACCTAACCCCCCCCCCCTCTCCTCCCCAGACAGGAATAGAGTATTTAATCATCAGGTGAAATAAATAATGTGGCGGCAAACCTACGCACTTCTCGACTAACTCTTGCTAATGTTAACAGGTTGGGTGAAGAGTAAAGAAGAACAGATCTCGACCTTCTACCATCAGGGAGACTTTGGTTACATCAAGGAGAAGCGACAACAACTCCAAGTGATCTGTGAGCCGCAGCGAGAGGTGACGTTCTCTTACGGCGGATTGGTCTTGTTTTTTAAGTCGTCATTTTTAGGTTGTCTGAGGATTGGTGTCCGCAGTTTGATTGATGTTAAGGATAGTTGTGTTAATCTGATCTATATAATCTGACTTAATCCAACCTAATGTAACTGAATTTAATGTAATCCAACCTAACCTATATACTCAAAGGTTAAACCAAAATACTCAAAGGCAGTGGCGGCTCGTGGGGGTGCTGCTTCAAAACATTTTCAAGAATCGTTTTAATATTGTGTAAGAGACACACACAGAAATACAGTAGGTGTATATAATGATAAAAATAATACAATAATAAAAGTATGGTAAAAATAAAAACATTTAACACCTACAGATAAAATACTCCAGTCTAGCTTGATCCAAATTTATTTAAAAATAAAATCCATTCTTCTTGTTTTTATTTTGAGCGAAAAGTGCATTTAGCCTTTCCTGATTCATTGTGCTCCTCAGAAAAGTTTTTATTCTTTTTAATGTTGAAAAGCAGCGTTCAGGCTCTGATGTAGTCATAGGAATTGTCAAGAGGATTTTTATCAGTTTCGTAATCTCGCTAAGAACACCATCTAAATTATTTTCCAAGATAAATTTCAGCAGGTTAATTAATCTGCAATATTCATGCATATCGGACCTACTGTAGAATACTCTAAGTTCAGTTTCTAATTTGTCTTTGTCACTCATGGGATATGCCTCAGTGGTCAATCCTATCTCTTCTGTAGGCAGTTTATTCTTAAGACTAGTGAAGCTTTTCTTGTTGACTAATTTAGCAGCTACTGATTGTTTAGTGAAGGAATATCTCTCCACTATATCAACACATAAGCAGTCACATACTTCCTTTGCTTCAGCCAGGAGCGTCTTTGAAGGATTCTCACAGTACTTCGAGTTTCTTATTTCTAAAATAGCAGCTTTGAAATTTGTTATATATTCGTGTACTTTAAACACATCAATTTCTCGAGACTGCATTTGGTTGTAAATTACTTTACCATGAGGCATGATCTGATGAAAAAGCTCCAACCAGAACATGAATTTTTCATTATTCAGGTAGTGCAAAATTCCTGTTGCTTCTGAAGTGGTTCGATCTGCATTTACCGTCGACTGGATTTCAGCAAGGCGGCTTTTTAAAGGTTGCAAATTTTCATGAACTTTGTTCACGGTCCGTATGTTAAAGTTCCACCTTGTAGAGGATGGGCCTGGAATGCTGACGTTCATATGCTTATTGAGAATGGATACACGTTGTGGTGATCTTGAGAAAAATGTTGGTATAGCCAAAACGTTAGAGAAAAATATTCTTGAGTCCCGCGTAATACTTGCTGCAGTTCTCATTATCAGATTCAGTTGGTGAGCATAACAGTGAATGAAATGTGCATTATTATAAACTGCTTTTATTTTTGCCCGAACGCCCCCTTTCTTGCCTTTTATGACATTTGCACCATCAAATGTCTGTGCTATCAGTTTTTTTCTATTTCCTTGAAGGATTATATCTAACTGCTCTAGAATACATTTTGATATGCCATCTGCAGTTAAATTTTCTAAAATAAAGAATCCCCCAAAACGCTCAAATATTTCTTCACTCAGCACGTACCGTAGAACAATTACCATTTGAGTGTGTTCTGAAACATCTGTTGTGTCATCAGCCGTGACAGCTACAAATGAAGCTTCTTTAATCTCTTTCTTTATCTCATCATGGTATATCTGCATCAGGCAGTCAAGTATCTCATCCTGAATAGTCTTAGAAACACGTGTGAAGACTGTACTTGTTTCTAAATGGTTCTTTAAATCTGGGTCTAATTTAGATGCAAAATTTATTAATCCCCTAAATACACCTGGATTTACTGAATCATCTTTTTCATCACGTCCACGTAAAGGACTTTCACGTTTCTTGGTAACCTTCCTGTTATGCTCATTGATCATAAGTCTATAGGCTTCATTAAGTTTTTCTTTAATATTTACGCTTCCTAAAAGTGATAGTGAAACCACGCTTCAAAATGCTTCTTTGACTTTTCATGTTTTTCATATTTTTCTTTCATTTTGTTTATATTTCTAAAGCCGTCTATTGTCCAAGTTACATCACTTCCAATTCCAAACAACAAACACGGAAAACAAAATAATGTATTTTTTTTTACTTCACAACCACAGAGCCAACTTTTCCTTTGGTACCATTCTGAATGAAAGCTACGAATATAACTCTTACTGTTGCTTATTCCTGGCCGAGATATTTGAATATCAGGTGAGGGACGGCCTCTTGTCTTAATAACAACTTTCTCATGAAGAGACAACTGTGAAAATTTAAGTTGTTGAAGTTCACTCACATCACCTACAATTTATCACATTCAGATACTCTTGACGGAACGTAAGCACCACACAGGATGATGCGTAAACACTACCTCCCACACTGATAACCAGATCGGCACTGTGTGATCCACAGTGCTCGCCCCCGCTTGCCTCCAGGACATGCGCTAGACAAAGCAAAGGCCCGTTATTGGAACTGTCGAGTAAGACAGTTCCACATACAGGGTTTTTTGTTTCTCGGAATTAGAGGACGGCCATTGACATTAAGTTTAAGGATTATTGATAATAGTTTTAAATATCTTGTACAAGCATAAATAAATAAGCATATATGATATATTATATTATATAATACATATATATCAGGTGAAATAGGGGTGCTGCAGTTCCACAGTGCCTACCGCTCAAAGGTTAAATCATAATATTCAAAGGTTAAATCATAGTACTCAAAGGTTAAATCATAGTACTCAAAGGTTAAATCATAGTACTCAAAGGTTAAATCATAGTACTTAAAGGTTAAATCATCATAGTACTCGAGGGGTTAAACCATCATACTCATGGGGTTTTCATTGTACTCAAGGGGTTAGGTTGGGGAAATGATCAATATAAAGTACATATTACATTCTTGTTACAGGGTGATTCATCGTTGGAGTGTGTAGACTACCTGCAGTTCTGTCGAGGGAGGAACATATACATTGACTTCCGCCCACTGAAACACCGCAAGGAGGTGGTGCACTATCATATGGACGTCTTGGACTCGGGGCAGATCGGCGGTCATTGCAGGTGTGTTTATCATCTCTCTAAATTCCTGTAATGTGTGAGATTTACGACTACGGGATAATTCGACTAATGTTATCGTGTATTACAGGTTAAATAAAAATCTTCTGGCACGACAAGCTGTACAAATTAGTCCCCTTCAGTCGTGGGCGCCGGAGCTGCGTCACTTCACCGAGCAGGAGGACACGGTGGCGGCCGGCGGCAGGATGTGTGACCTCTGGGTTGACACTCCGACGTTTATTATGAAGATTGATGCAAGTAAGTGATGATAAGACTGACTGATGCAAGTACGTGATGATAAAACTGACTGATGCATTGGGAGTCTTGTTGTTGAAGACTTAAGCTAGGATTCCATTCACGTGAAATGCCAATAATAGAGCATATTGAAATGCGGTTGTTTCCATCGGCACGGTTGCATTAGTGGTGTCGTAAGCATTATACATTTGTAGTACATGTCGATCGCTCCCTGTAGTGATTGACAACACAACCACTTGGAAATGGACGCAGGAATCCCATACTGTGATGTCCCTGTGTTTTCTCTCCTCACCCAGCAAAATAACTTAGGAAAAAAACCAGTTTTCTCTCGAGGTGACTGAGAAGTTGATTTCACTAAGAATATATCCCAACCTATTTTTGTGATGCGTTTAAAAACCTTTCTACTGTATATCAATTTATGAGATCCACACATCTTTGACACAACTGATCTAAATTGAAGGTTCATGGTCTCAATAAAAGGTTCACTGGAATACTAATTTTTGTGTCACGTAAGTATAATGTCTTAACCCCTTCAGTACGATGTCTTAACCCCTTCAGTACGATGTCTTAACCCCTTCAGTACAATGTCTTAACCCCTTCAGTACGATGTCTTAACCCCTTCAGTACGACGTCTTAACCCCTTCAGTACGATGTCTTAACCCCTTCAGTACGACGTCTTAACCCCTTCAGTACGATGTCTTAACCCCTTGAGTACGACGTCTTAACCCCTTGAGTACAACGTCTTAACCCCTTCAGTACGACGTCTTAACCCCTTGAGTACGACGTCTTAACACCTTGAGTAAAAAGTATAGTTATTTATTGCATACGTATATACATTTTTATGATAAATTATAATAACATTAAAATATACAGCATACATGTAATGATTAATGAATGTATAGTAAATGAGATTTTAGTTTGTATTAATGATTGTATTTTACCAGTAGCCGGGCTAAGTACACCTGTATTGTTCTTTATAGCAAGTTGTTGATTAGATCGTAGACATTTTCTTTCTTACAAACACTTGATACAGCCTAAGATAACAGCCTGAGTTAGTGTTAGATGAAGTCAGGTTATGTTAGAATTCATTAGATTATGTTAAGTTAAAACAGATTAACACCGGGTAATGTCAGGTTAATATATAGTAAGATTAACAATAAGTCGTTAATCTCAAGGGTGAAATAAACCAGGTCAGAAGGTAATCACCACGCGACCCTCATTAGTCTATTTACCCGCAGCTGTTAATTTGTATCACCACTTCTGCGACTTCTTCAACCTCTATGCGTCACAACATGTCAACAACACTGACTCATCTGCCTTCTCCCGCGACACACAGGTGAGTCATTTGTTACCTGTTGTGTGTTACCTGTTGTGTGTTACCTGTTGTGTGTTACCTGTTGTGTGTTACCTGTTGTGTGTTACCTGTCATTTGTTACCTGTTGTGTTTTTTGCTCTATATTTGGTTGTTATTCTATGTGTTTTAGCCCCTTGAATACTATGTCGACCCACTGAGTACCACGGGTTAGTTTAGTTGAGTTCAGGGCCGGATTTACCAATAGGCCAAGTAGACCATTGGTCTAGGGCCCACCGGTATCTGGGGCCCCACTGAAACTAATTTGTCGTGCAGCGTGCCAGCGTATAACTTTGTTTCAAGTGTACACCGAGTATTTCATTATATAATATATTCACAACCATAAGGGCCCCTGTACAATAAGTATAGGGCCCAGAGTATGGGGCCCCTGTACAATAAGTATAGGCCTGCAGTGGTCTTCAACTGGTGGGCCATGGTGGGCCCACTGATGAGTTTGGCCTGGGGCCCACAAGAAGGTAAATCCGGCCCTGGTTGAGTATGTAACCCCTTGAGTATGATGACTTAACCCCTTGAGTATGATGACTTAACCCCTTGAGTATGATGACTTAGCCCCTTGAATATGATGACTTAGCCCCTTGAATATGATGACTTAACCCCTTGAATATGTTGATTTAACTGGGAGGATGTGTGGTAATGTGTCACCCCATTACAGATCCTTATATGGGAGACTCTCGTGTACCGCACCAACTTCGGGTCAGCCTTCGATGCTTTTACCAAGAACCCCATTTGGACTCTTAACTCTGTCTCAGGTAACACTGTAATGCATAAGAGTTCTACTGTAACACATAATAATAATAATGGTTGCCCCTCGTGTTCAAAGATGGCCGTCCCTTGGGCCACCTAGGCGTGAATTTGTTTAAGGTGTAGAAGCTGCTGCCAACACAACAACCACACCCTAATGTGTTACGTGACCCAGTGTCAAGGAATAGTCCGAGAAGACCGGACAACTCACCAACTGCACTGGCTAACCATTGTCTTGGTAAATGATCTATAAATTGATTAACATTCAGGTCCCCAATTACTGCTGCGTAGACAGAGGCAAATGGCATAAACATACCCTTCATGCAGCTGTGTATGTTAATGTGACTTGTGATTGGTTGTTGTAGCATTACCTCCACCAATCAGGGTTCTCGGTGGTCTTTACTGGTTGGGAAGCCTTTATTTGAATGTCTTGGGGTCGGATGTTTTGCAGGGTTGAGAACTTTACCCTAACTGTATTTGGACTTGGCAGTGAAGTACTGTACACTATCTATTTAAAGAAGTACAGAGAGGAAAGTCCATTATATTGGGAGTCCATTTGGTTAGGTTAGGTGTGTTGGTGTTAATATCTGATGTTAGAGTGTTACCAACTAAGTCATGTTGTGTTCACCAGGGCAGCGGGTGTGCTTCAAGGAGGTGGTGTTGCCGCTACTGCCTCGGATGGTCTTTGGCCTCTACTACAACACTCCCATTGTATGTACTGTACTGCAACACTTGTACTGCAACACTTGTGCTGCAACACTTGTGCTGCAACACTTGTACTGCAACACCTGTACTGCAACACCTGTACTACAATACTCATAATTCTATACTATACCACTACCATAATTCTACACTATTTCTCTACCATGATTCTGTACTACAGCTCTCATGTAATAAAAACTTTGTTGACAATTTGGTTATAAATTTCTGGTTCATGGTGTAAATACTATATACATTAACACTTAATTTAATTCTTAACATAGCTGCCACTTCAACGTATTAAAATCAATATAATATTTAACGTAACCGCTACAATAAGTTACTGTAATATACATGAAAATAAAATATATATTAAGATTTATTTTTCTTGTTTATTTTTGTAGATTTGGGGATGTGAGAACAGCGGTTTATTCCACGCCTTCTCTCACCACCTCATCCACCGCTTGCACATCCCGGAGAGAACTGTCGGGGACGGGAAGATACACGTGACATTCCTCTCGCGGGAGACTGAATTCCGACGAGTCTTAAATGAGGCGGAACTCATCGAGGCCGTCAGAAGAGATAAGAGTTTTGTTGTGAGGAAGGTGAGTCATGAGGAATAGGGGTCATCACTTAGTTTATAACCCATCCCAAGCCTACCTGACCTAACCTAACCCATCCCAAGCCTACCTAACCTAACCTAACCCATCCCAAGCCTACCTAACCTAACCCATCCCAAGCCTACCTAACCTAACCTAACCCATCCCAAGCCTACCTGACCTAACCTAACCTAACCTAACCTAACCTAACCCATCCCAAGCCTACGTAACCTAACATAAGAAAATAAGGAGTCTGCAATAGGCCGGTTGGTCTGTGCATGGCAGCTCCTGTCGAGAGTTACTACCACTCTCTATCATCCATGAATCTATCTAGCCTCCTTGTAAAACTTTCCAGCGTTCCAGCACTTACTACAAAGTTGGTAAGCTTGTTCCACTCGTCCACCACCCTATTTGTGAACCAGTTCCTTCCTATCTCCCTCCTAAACCTACACTAAACTTATCCAACATAAATCTGTTGCTCCGAGTCCTATCCTGCTCGGATATTATAAGAACTTTATCTATATCACCTTTGTTGATTCCTTTAACCCACTTAAATACTTCTATCATATCTCCCCGCACTCTTTGTCTTTCTCGGGAATGCAAGTTTAGTTTCTTTAACCTATCCTGATATGGAAGGTTTCTAAGTCCCAGAATCATTTTCGTCATTCTTCGCTGCACCGACTCTAGTGAATTGATATCCATTCTATAATAGGGGCACCAGAACTGAACCGCATAATCGAGGTGCGGCCTGACTAGCGCAAGATATAGTTGCAATAAGACCTCTGCACTCTTATTACTTACACTTCTAGATATAAAACCCAATACCCTGTTTGCCTTATTTCAAACATTAACGCACTGTTTTCTAGGCCGTAGGTCTGGGCTTACAAGTCCCCCTAGGTCTCCTTCACAAGTCGACTTTTCTAGGTTGATGTTGTTAAGGCTGTATACATTGACAGTATTTCTTCTTCCAATATTAAGTACGCTGCACTTGCTGGTGTTGAATTTCATTTGCCATTTTTCAGACCACCCATGCAGTTCATTTAGATTCTCCTGTAATGCATTTGCATCCTGCCCTGAATTAATCTGCCGCCCTATTTTGGTGTCATCCGCAAACTTGCTTATGTCACTGCTGATCCCAGTATCTAGATCGTTTATGTAGATTATGAACAAGAGTGAGCCTAGTACTGACCCCTGGGGAACCCCACTGGTTACACTGCCCCACTCAGATTTAACACCATCTACGCTGACCCTCTGCGTTCTATTGGTGAGCCATGATTTTATCCAATTTAAAACTTTCCTCGATACCATGAGCCTTAATTTTTCTCAGAAGCCTCTGATGCGGTACTCTGTCAAATGCTTTGCTAAAGTCTAAGTAAATAACATCGTAATTTTCGTCATTATCTACTACCTCGAAGACTTTCCTAAAAAACGTCAGCAGATTTGTTAGACAAGATTTTCCCTTTGTAAACCCATGTTGAGAGTCGTAGATTAATTTGCTTTTCTCTAAATGCGATCGGATGCTATCTGCTATAATTGATTCAAGAAATTTCCCCACTACTGACGTCAATCTGATCGGCCGGTAATTTGACGCTGATGCTCTGTCTCCCTTTTTGAATATGGGTACCACATTTGCCTACTTCCACAAGTCTGGCACAACTCCCGTGTCTAATGATTTTGTAAATAAATTTACGAGGGGTCCACTAATCTGTTCCCTACACTCTTTCAAGATTCGAGGGAATATTTCATCCGGCCCTGAGGATTTTGTCTTCTTTAGTTTATTTATCCTCTTAAGAACATCCTCTCTTCTGATAGTGATATTCTTTAATTTCTCTTCTTCCATTCCCCTAAATATCAGTTCCACCTCTGGAATTTCCTCGCAAATTTCTAATGTGAAAACTAATAAGAAGTAGCTGTTCAATGCTTTGCTTATTTCTTCACTTCCATTTATCACTTCTCCTCTCCCTGACTTTAAAGGCCCAACTTTGTCCTTGACTTTTGTTCTATATACCTGGAAAAATCCCTTGGGATTCGCCTTGGATTCTCTTGCTATTTTTATTTCATATTCTCTCTTTGCTTTCCTTACATTTTTCTTAACATTCCTAGATAGTTCATTATACCTATTTCTGAGCTGCTACTCCCCTCCCTTTAATTTCTTATAAATGCCTTTCTTTATTCCTTTGTCATGTTTAAGTTTTCTGGTCATCCACCTTGGCTCATTCTTATTTGACCTAATTTTTCTGTATGGTATATTTTGTTCTTGTGCTTTATGTAGTATACTTGTGAATATATTATAGTCATGATCAATTGTTGTGTCATCCATGACCTCACCCCTTCCTACTGGGGACTGACGTGACTGTTCCCAGGTGACCTCACCTAGGTACCTTCTTAACCCCTGATAATCCGCCAACCGAAACTTTGGGACTCTGACCATATTGTCATTGTTTTTCATTTCCCAATTTAGGATGAACCTGATTTGTCTGTGATCACTGTTACTTAGTTCTTCCCCTACTGTGATATCTCTGATAATATTTTCTTTATTTGTTAATACTCGGTCTAATATATTGTCACCTCTAGTAGGTTCTGTAATTAGTTGTTTCAAAAAATTGTCCTGTACTGCATCTAGGAAGTTTTCAGATTCACAGTCACCTACAATGTTGTCCCAGTCAATATTTCTGAAGTTGAAATCCCCCATAATGCATAGGTTGTTATATTTTGCTGCCCTACTCATTTCCTGCCATATGGGCTGAGCTGCTTCTTTGCCAAGACTTGGGGGCCTGTAAATCACTCCCATAATTAGTTTTTCTCTTCCTTCCGTGATTTCTACCCATACAGACTCGGTTCCTATTTCACCCTTTATTGAATTATTAATACAACATTTTAATGTATCCTTGACGAAGAGTGCGACCCCTCCCCCCCTTCCCTGTCCTTGTGAAAAAGGTTGTACCCTTCTATGTGGTACTCTGATAAAAAAATTTTGCTCGCCAGATTCATCCAAGTTTCGGTGATTGCTATGACGTCTACATTCTCGGTACATACAACCGCTCTCAGCAAGTCTATTTTATTTCTAACGCTCCTACTGTTTGTATAGTATACATTTAAACCTACCCTTCCCTGGTCCTGTTTTACCCCTTGTCCTGAGTAACCAATTTTACTTCCCAGGACCTGCTTGTTTTTTGACTCCCACTTTCCCCGACCTCTCTCTACTGGCGAAACCCCCCCTTTGGAGTGACAATTTCACGCTCCAGGGATGCAGACAACGTCTTTACCCCCGCACGAGACAAGTGTACTCCGTCACGACTGTACAGGTAGTCGTTGCCATAGAATCGTTGCCAGCTATCAATGAATGCCCAACCATTGTTTGCACAATGTTTTTCCAGTCGGCAATTTATAGCAATTGCCCTGGACAGCCATTCACGACCAACCCCTCTTCTAGGCAAGACACCACATACTATTGGGATCCCTCCCCTATCTCTAATCTTCCCCAGCGCCTCCCTATACCTCTTGAAAAGTTCCTCACTTCTAACCTTTCCTATGTCGTTTCCTCCCACACTAAGACACACTACTGGATTGGTACCCTCCCCTGACAAAACCCTGTCTATCCTCTCAGCTACATGCCCTATCCCAGCCCCAGGAAAACACACCCTAGTCCTACGTTTCCTATCTCTTGCACAAAAAGTCCTATCTAATAACCTCACCTGGCTGTCCCCAACTACCACGACCTTACCACTGGGCAGGGTTTGTACAACTGCCCTTTCCTCTCCCTGCACCACACCGTCCTGCCTCTTCTCTTCCCCGCCAGCTTCCTCCAGCACCTGATAGGGGTTACTACACTCCACACCCTGGTCAGCTTTCCTGAGTCTGACCCTAGTCCCCTTGGAGACAACCACTCTCCACGCCTGCTCCTCCTTCAGGTAGGTGTCCTGCTAGGCAGGACACCTACCTGAAGGAGTTCAGTCCTGAGGGGTTCATTTTCCCCCTTTAGAGTGTCAATCTCACTCCTCAACTGCCCCAGCTGCCTTAACAGAGTGGCGAGGAGGTCGTCTTTCCTCACACTCCGCTCCTCTTCCCCCAAGACACAAGGATCCAAGGCGGCCATTTTCCTTGGTCACTAACGGGAGCACTTGGGGGCACGTCCTTCTCCAAGCTGGGGCAGGTAGCAACTGAGCTGGGTCAGGTAGCAACTGAGCTGGGGCAGGTAGCAACATAATCCAACTCAGGTAGCATAAGAGTGTGTGTAATCATCAGGTGAAATAAGCTCAGAGCCTTAATCTCCTTATAGATCCAAAAATCATTAAAAATACAATATTGTTCTTGGACTGAGGTCGATAAATGTCGTGCCCCATCAGGTGGACTACAGCCACGAGATGGACTTCCACCAGCAGCTGAGGCAAGACCAATGGACAGATGTATTTATTGGTATGCATGGTGCTGGTCTGACCCATCTGCTCTTTCTTCCTGACTGGGCTGTTGTCTTGGAACTGTGAGTATTGTATTGTTCTGTGTGTGTGTGTGTGTATGTGTGCTTTTTGTGAGTGTTTTAATGTGATTTATGTGTACAGTACATCTTTTTATGTGTGTGTGTGTGCTTTGTGTGTACAGTGTTTTTTATGTTTGTGTGTGTGTGTGTTTTGTACATGCTCTATGTGTCACTGTGTGTTTTGTGAGTGTGTTGGGTTTGTGTGTATGTCTGTCTAAGCATCAAGCACATCCAATCCACCATTTCCTTTCACCTAACAAACATTCTAACATTATGTTCACCACATTTCCAGATACAATTGTGGTGACCCAAACTGCTTCAAGGATCTGGCACGTTTACGAGGGATCAAATACCTGACGTGGCAAGACCCAGCCAAACTAACCCCACAAGATAAGGTATTTATTGTGAACGATGTGGTAACACTCTCTCTCTCTCTCTAGATGAAGTGTGATTTAATGTATTTAGTGATTTTTATACTGTATTTAATGTACAGTGGTCCCTCAATTAACGAGCGCCTCGGTTAACGAGTTACCTCCCATAAGATTCTTAACTTCGGTTAACGAGCAACCCCTCGGTTAACAAGTTTCTTACGAGCCGACCTCAACATGTTTTGGCTTGCACTTGGCGGTCAACCAGCTGTAGTATTAGTCCGCCAATACATTAATCGGTTCTAGGGCTTAAATTCCTTACTATTTTAGTAAATATCAAGAAGTTTATACTATTCAATAATTTTAAAAGTTTAATATTAGGTTTTTTAGTAATTTTAACAATTATTGATCATAATTGAAGGTAAAGTGACTAGTTTAATGCACGGCATCCAGCCTCTTAACACAGCAAACAAGCGTTAGTCTCTCTCTGTTTTCACTGGAGGTAATATCTTGCTTGAGACTCTCTTCAACTAAATGCTTTTTTTCTGTGTTTCCAAGCAAATTATTGGTCATTTTGAAATTTATTTTACATATTGACAATATATAGCCCAGTGCAGTGTTATTTTAAAGAAAATATTCTTTATTTACAACAAGTTTAACTTTAAAAAACACGTGTTGACATTGTTTGAATCCAGCATGGGGCCTAAGAGATCAAGAAAAGCGATTTCAATCCAAACCAAGCAGGAAATTATAAAAAAAACATGAACAAGGCATTAGAACAAATGCGCTATGCAAAGAATATGGCATGACGGCATCAACTGTGTCAACAATTCTTGCACAGAAAGACAAATTTAAAGAAGTGAAAGTGAGAGACAAATCTACAAGAGTGTTTAAAAGTAGAGACCTAATTGCAGAAACAGAGAGGTTACTTCTCATCTGGATTAGGGAAAAACAGATGAAAGGTGATTCAGTTTCTACTGAATTCATTTGTGAAAGAGCCGGGGAGATTTACGAACATTTAAAGGCAGATCAACCTGGTTCTTCAGGCACAGAATTTGAAAATTTTCGGGCCAGCAAAGGCTGGTTCGAAAAATTTAAGAAAAGAAGTGACATTTTCAGTGTTATTAGGCATGGTGAAGCTGCCAGTGCTGATAAGGAAGGGGCAGCAAAGTTTTTAGTGAATTTAAAGAACTGATGGAAGAAGAAAATTATCTTCCACAGCAAGTGTTCAATGTGGACAAAACTGGGCTGTTCTGGAAAAAGATGCCCAAAAGAACATTCATCACCAGAGATGAAGCCTCTTTACCTGGGCATAAACCCATGAAAGACCGTCTCACTCTATTGCTTGGTGCCAATGCTTCAGGGGATTTCCGACTGAAGCCTATGCTTGTCTACCACTCTGAAAACCCCAGGGTGTTCAAGCAACAGAAAGTGGTAAGAACAAAGCTTGGAGTTTATTGGAAGTCCAACCGTAAGGCATGGGTGACAAGACAGCTCTTTAATGAATGGGCTGTTGAGGTGTTTTGCCCTTCTGTCAAGAGCTACCTAACCACCAATAAACTCCCTTTAAAGGCTCTTCTCCTCATGGATAATGCTCCTGGTCATGACCCTGAACTTGCCAGAATTTGGAGTATCAATTTGACTTTGTGAAAGTGTTGTTTTTGCCTCCCAACACTACATCAATCATACAGCCAATGGACCAGAATGTGATCAGCAACTTCAAGAAGTTGTACATGAAAAAATGTTTAGGAGGTGTCATCAGGCAGCTTCCACTGATCCTGAACTAACACTGAAACATTTCTGGAAGACACAATTCAACATCCTGGAGGCTGTAAAATTGATTGTGTCATCATGGGAAGAAGTCTCCACTAGATCCCTCAATTCTTCATGGAAAGCACTGTGGCCATCAGTAGTCCATGATTTTGAGGGATTTGAGGAAGAAACAGTGTTGGACCAGGAGATTGTGTCCATTGGTCAGTCATTGGGCCTTGAAGTGGAGGAGGAGGATGTGGAAGAGCTTGTGATGTCTCATGAGGAGGAACTTACTCCTGATGACTTGAAGCAACTGGATGAGATGTTAGAGGTAGAGGCTGACAATGGTGAGGAGGGAATTGAAAGTGATGACCATATGTCAGCTAAACAGTTGAAAAATGTGATTTACCACTGGGAGAAGTTCAGGGAACTGGCTTCAAGGCACCCAGAAGTGGAAAAAACTGAACTAACTTTGTGTCATGTTGAGGACTCAGTGGTCTCCTTCTTTAAACATAAGTTAATGGTGAGGAGGACAGATGCCCCACAGACCACAATTGACACTTTCTTCAGTAAAAGGCAGAGGGAACAAGATGCTATCCCTCAGCCTTCCACTTCAAGAAGGAGAGAGGATGATGCTAGTCCTCAGCCTTCCACTTCAAGGAGAGAGGATGTTGCTGGTGGAGAATCTGTCAGTCCAGAGGTTCCTGACATTTTCATGGAAGGTGACTCACCTTCCAAGAAGCAGTAAAATGCTTCTCCTCCACCTCCACTTCCTTCTCTTCTCCCTTCTCCTCCTCCACCTCCCACTTCAAATTCACATCATCATCATCATCCAGGAGCCTTCTACATACTGTACACACCTCAAAGTAAGTGAACTTTTCTACCTTTTTTGTTGAATTTTAGGCAATTTTCGGTGAGCTGGAACCAATTACCCAAAAACCCATTGAAACAATGGTTTCGGTTAACGAGCAACCTGCTGGAACGGATTGTGCTCGTTAACCGAGGGACCACTGTAGTTAGTGATTTTTATGCTGTATTTAATGTATTTAGTGTTTTTTGCTGTATTTAGTGATTTTTATGCTGTATTTAATATATTTCGTGATTTACAGGGCAGGCATCCCACTGAAGGAGCTCACGAAAAGTTCACGAATTACTGGTTCGACAGAGAGGAGTTCGTGCGACTTATGCAGGAGGCAGCGGAGCACGTCAGGGAGCACAGAGGCTGGCGGAATCTACAGGAACAGTTGAATAAGTCGCAGCAACGGGAGGAGTTGTGAATGTGGTTAAGTTAGGTTATGAGGTTGTAAGGGTCATCTGTGTTGGTTGTGAGGCGATATTAGTCGAGTTGATTTGTGGTTGATGTTGATACTACCACGTTCTGTCCTTTTCTTTCCTGTTCTGTCCTTTTCTTTCCTATTCTGTCCTTTTCTTTCCTATTCTGTCCTTTTCTTTCCTGTTCTGTCCTTTTCTTTCCTGTTCTGTCTTTTTCTTTCCTATTCTGTCCTGTTCTGTGTTGTTCAATCCCGCCAAATACCTTCCCCTTAGCCCCTACACCCCGGGTAACGTTCCAGAATGCGCTCCTTTTCCCGCCACTGTTTAAATGGCCAGCGCGGGTTATGAGGTTCCAGTGTGACTATTTGCTTGTCACGCCACCCCTCGGCCACAGGGAAGCTTCCTGGACATAATTACCTACTTTTCTTTGTCCATTTCATCATGTTGTATCAAGGTAATATTGATAAAAGTAGTGTAGTTGTATTGTAGTGTAGTATTACTGTAAAACAATGCTATGATTATGTTATAAATGTATTTATTTGTGGAATTATTATTTTATGCATTAATTGCTCTACCAAACACAAAGACAGCCTGGCGACAGACTGCGTGTGTGTTGCCAAGTGCTTTTTATGAAAAATACTGCAAATAAAATATTCTAAATGAATTATTTATACCAAATAAGTATTATGATCAGTAAATATTTGCATTACTGGCCATCTCGAACACAAAGGCAAGCTTAGTGCGTAGGTGACCACGAATGCTCCCTTATCTCCCTCCCTCCGCACGGCCAGGGAAGTTTCTAGAGGGTCAATATATAGATTTTCTTACTATGGACCTGTGAATCCAAGACATGAACCCTTGAATCTCAGACATGGACCTGTGAATCCAAGACATGGACCTGTGAATCCAAGACATGAACCCTTGAATCTCAGACATGGACCTGTGAATCCAAGACATGGACCTGTGAATCCAAGACATGAACCCTTGAATCCCAGATCATTGTTGGGTCTATAGCAGGTGCACAGGTTCATGGATGGGGGAGCAAACTGACGGACCTTTTATGGTGGCTGTACTGTACAGTCGTCTGGTACAGTGGCAGGTGTGTTTTATCAGATGTGGCAACTCTGTGTTTTATCAGATGTGGCAACTCTGTGTTTTGTCAGATGTGGCAACTCTGTGTTTTATCAGATGTGGCAACTCTGTATTTTATCAGATGCGGCAACTTGTGGTATAACTTAATTGTAATTTATTAATAGTATTTTTTTTAAATAAGTGAATTAAGAGTTTTATCGGCTTTTGTGTTTCTGCCAAGTACTGTAAAGCCGTCCCTTCAGTTACTCAAAGGCTCGGCTCGTGAAAAATAATGTATAAAATTGATCCAGGAACATTTGTATGCCGGTGCTGTTCATTGAGTCCTCCGTCCAATAACAACTAAGAGACCGGCCCTGAGAGTAAATCTGCCTTATATCCCGTCCAGTGTAAGCAGTACCCACTTGGTTCTGTTCAATTGATTATTTATACATCAAGATAGTGTTTTAAGGCAGGTATGATATAAAGTAATGTGCTTTATTTATTATTGAAATACAGTACAGTAGGAATATAGGGGTACATTTGGTGCAAGAGGAGTGGGAGCTGAGACAATAAGTAGAAACACACACACATACAGACACACACACATACAGACACACACACACACACACATACAGACACACACATACAGACACACACATACACACACACACACACATACAGACACACACACACACACACACAACATATAATTTCGTTGATATAAGTGTCCAAATAGTTAGCGCTGTATGTAATTCACTCGATTAGCTGAAAGTTACGACACCTGACCATGATACAGTATCAAGTTCAGGTTAGGACACATGCCTATTTCAGACTCCATTACACGACACTGATGCACAATTTATGCCTTTTTTTAATATCAGGTTCGTAGCTCAGGTGGTGAAGGATATTTTAGTGATTAATGGTGATACGTTTCTTCCTCTTATGAAGGTCTCTGTCGGGTCATTGAGATGATGGCATTAACTTGAGGCGCTGACGATCATTATTCTGGAGGTCTGTGGCGCTGGTGTTGTCATGAGCGAGGTCATTTGTACACCACCACAAGATCGGCTCCCATAGATACCTGCAGGGTTAGGTTAGGTTTCTGGTTAGTTAATATGTGAGGTAGCTCTTCAGGTGAGCACTTGGGGAGGGGGGTGGGGGGCTAATCATCAGGTGATCCATAAAAGCTTAAGACCACAAATGGCTTCGTTCGTGGCCCCGATCTTAACTACATCGCGGATTATTAACTCCGTTGATTATAAAAATATTACTCTGTTGTGTCCTATGTTTTATATATATCTCTCCATGGGGTCGTATTAACACTTTGATGATTATTGAAGGAGGCGGTGAATTGTGATGATGTTTTAATTTTATTTAAACTCGTGGGAAATTTTCTAGATAAAATAATGAGTTGGGTGATAGTACAGTCAGTTCTGCTATAACGCGATAGTTGTGTTCTTGTAAAACATCGTGTTATAGAAATTCGCGTAATAGAAATAACAGGGCTTATGGAGAAAATAGGGTTAGGTGCAGGTTACTACTCGAAATCGAAAAAAATTAGTAGTTAGCCTAACACAAAGGATAGCACAGTCTAAATAAATGTTACATTCATATCTAATAATGAAATCATACAGTAAATGTAACACTTTACCTTGAAAAAATGTGAATATAACTTGATGGGGGAGAAGGGTGATTTTGAGGTTGATAACATCGAGCTTCTCTTCAAGGGTTATAGCCTTTCTTTTACAATCATCACGGGGAATGCGATCACCAGAACGCTTCTTGGAGATATTCTTCTTTACCATATTCACAGTTAATACCACAAAATTGGAGAAATAATAAGCAAAAATCGCGTTATACAAATATCGTTCCTCTATTCATAAATCGCGTTAGAGCCAATTCGCGTTGTCAAAACACGCGTTATAGCAGAACTCACTGTATGAGAGTGAGACCTTGATATAATGGACTTCTCTCTCTATTTACTACAGTGATGTCACCATTAGCCGCAACAATTGGCACTTCCAGGAATGAGAGATTTCCGGGTGACGAGATGACTCTGCAACACTGAACAAATTCCCCCATCCCCGGAATTTTCCGGGTATCGGGAAAATTGTCTCGGATTTTTTCGGAAAATGTGCCCCTCGTAAAATTGTTTCCAAAGTCGGAATTTTCCTGAAATTCCTGTGCTTTGGGAACGATTTTCCGAGAAAATTTCAATTCCGGCCGCTGGAGTTCTGGGTTTGAGGGATTCTTGCTAATGTAGATATTACTATAGTCTGTTAGATGGAGGGTTAACATGTTACAGACCCTTCATATAACGGTCTTCTCTCACTCTATATACAGTAGGTTCTCAAATTTCGCGACTTTTTAATTTGACGTTTTTTATTTGGAAAAAAAAATAACACTACACAATTTCAAATTTCAACGGCGGAAACTCGAATTTCGACGGGTTTGAGTGGCCCGCCAACGTTCAGAGAGTGCACAATACAGCGTAATTTCTCTTATGTACAAAAGATTCATTATTGTTTATTAATTTCTTTTTGATTGAATTAATGTTTGTGTGCAAAATGAACAATACAATTCATTAATAATACATAGAATATTAAAACACACGAGGAGACGAGACGGCTTTGTTTTTGTTGTTTACAAAACCAATGACTGATTGGTTCTACATAAAAAACTGAAAAAAATAAGACCCCGGTTGTAGCTGTAGTAAAATTAATGTAAAAAAATAATATGGTTGTTTTAAGTAATGATATTTAATGTTAATAAATGAAACAATGGAAGAAGCTAACCATTAATGGTAAAGAAAAAAGTGAGACTGCGCGTATGTAAGTGAGCACATGTGAAAACATATCGTCATTACTCTACATAAGAATATGAAAGCAACACCTATTTACTGTTCATATATATTTTAATTAATGTTTCTGAATTTAAAACAAAAATTCTGCCCACCAGTGGTGGTAAAGTTGAAAACATAAGGACAGTTAATGTTGTTGTGTGTGTTTTACTTGGATGACAAAGTTGCCAAGTCATCAGGTTCAACTCTAGCTGAAGCTGTAGAACATAGGAACTTTTTCTGTGTTGTTTTTAGTTTTTATTTAACTTTATCTGTGTTATTCTCGTTGGTTTATTAGGATGTTGCTTTATTACAGGTAGTAATTCACCCAAAAGTAGGGTAAATAAGGCCAAATTTAGCCAAACATCGAAAGTACCAGACTCAATTAATTTTCTCAATAGGAAGTTGTATTTAAATTTGGACGATTTGAATTCTCGAGGTTTTTACAGTCTAAATGGGTGTCCAAATATGAGACCGTACTGTAGTTCATTCAACAGAGGTTTAACTGTAGTATGTTTCATGTGCCTTAAAATGTGTTAATGAGTTGACTGAGGAAATGGAGTTTGTTGATTTTGTGGAGAATATGTTGAGTGCTGTGGTTACCCTAAGCTGAATATGTTGAGTGCTGTGGTTACCCTAAGCTGAATATGTTGAGTGCTGTGGTTACCCTAAGCTGAATATGTTGAGTGCTGTGGTTACCCTAAGCTGAATATGTTGACTGCTGTGGTTACCCTAAGCTGAATAAAATCATCTGGTGGTAACTTTAGGGTGTTTAATCATCAGGTGAAATAAGCTTATAAAAGCCTCAGTGTAGACTCATAACAGCCTCATGTGTGTCTCAGTATAAGGACAATTAGGCCTCACACCCTGTGATAATGGAAGTATTGTGATGATCAACACAAATATTAGGATTAATTTTATGGTTTTGTGTGTGTGTGTGTGTGTGTTATTCTTGCATATACAGTATAGTCTGGATTTACATAGTTTTTGTTTACGTGTTTGGTCATTTACGAGGTGCCTTGCCAGAATGAAATGTTTTAATTACGCGGTAAATTTCATCATTTACACGGCGAGCGGCTGGAGAGGTCCAGACACGCCACGCCATTTTTTACTCACGCGGTCCATTCTTGACCATACGCAGGAAGTGGCACGGTGAGTGGTGCGCATTAGGCCGCTCTTACGTTATCGCTGACGTCATATGACGTATCGGACTGTGATTGGGCCACGCATCCTTACCACCCACGCATTTCCTCCGCCGCTAGCTGTGATTGGTCTAATGTAACATGACATGCCCTGCCACCAGAGGGTAGAAGTCGCTGACCTTGCCGGGCCTGTCTCAGTGTTCTCAGTCCGCGTATACAGTTCTCTCTTGTGCCCGCTATTCCCCTCACAATGGCTTCCACTGGACCCCCACCACCAGAAAAAAACCTTGAATTGCCTGGACCAAGCCATGATTGTGTGAAGGAAATCATCGACTTGGGGGAGAAAATTAAGCTCGTCCTTGACAACGACCCAGACAAGCATCGGTATGAAGCGTCTAATAACCATCTGACGAAAGTTATGGAGCCGTATATCCAGATGTATCACGACAACATCAATGCTAGTCGTCAACGCAGTATTAAGGACTTCCTCGCCCGCAACCCACCACAACCACAGCCAGCCCAAGTCAGTGATAGTGACAGTGAGGCTATGGACTTTGAGGGGTTTGTCTGGGAGGCAATGCAAACCTCTGCGAGTAGTGAAAGTGATTCACCGGAGGGCAACTAATCTGCCCTCTGCCTTGGAACCAGCCGCCATCCACGTGTGCCGACCCATCTCTTCTACTAACGTAAGTGTTAAACACCTTTAGATTTGTAGTTTTTTTATTTAGATATTATGTGTGTAGCAATACCATCATAAATTTATGATATTTTTACTACAATTACGTATTGTGTCGGAAAAAGTGGAGTTTGGCCCAGTCTCTGTTTCAATTAATCCCATATCTTATGTTATTTCGTTTACGTGTTTCTCGTTTTACACAGACCTCCACGGGTTCAATTGACCGCGCAAATGCAGACTATACTGTATGTGTTGTGTGTGTGTGTTCTTGCATATATGTGTTGTGTGAGTACATACATGTATTTTCCAAGGTATTTCTGAGTTGACAATGTTATTACCATTAATAATTAATAAGTTTATAAAATGCCCAAATATGTCCTGTTGGTTGTCCAGAACTCAATAATTATCCAAGTAAATAAAATATGTTTGTCTATTTTGTTATTTGATGCCTTAATAACTTTGTATTTTATTATGTATTGAAGCTGACAATAAATTTTTTACTACACTTTGAAATCTTTGATGTTGGTGGGTAAACTATCCTACTGTACCTTTGTAGCGTAGTGTTTGTGGCTAGTTGTTAAATTTCTCTTTGTTAGGCTCACATACATACGTACATGTAGGAGATCTCGCACTAAGGATGGAGGTGAGAAGGGGAACTCACAATGGCATTTTCTATTTATATATATTATGTACAATGCAATGCTAGGGAGTTGCTGTGTGGTGAGGAACTTGCTGAGAGGATGTCTTGTCTGTTTGAGAATGTTAAGTAGAATAATCTTCATGGTTTTGTTGTTGTTGTTGAGATTGTCTGGCCGTAGTCCGACACGGGCCTTTGCCTGTAGGCGGCCCGTTTGGTGGTTCCGGTTGGAGCTCTTGGAGCAGCCAGACCGGATTGGGATTGGGGATGGAGGTTGTCCGACCTGCAGATATGAAAGGATACTGCGGGTTTACAAGTGTGAGCGTACCCTCGGTCAGTGAACGCTGACCACCAACCCCCACTCTTGGACGTGGTCAGCTTCGGAGTGGTGCGCCCCCCGAACTGGGGTCCGCACTTGCTGGGGGAGGATACTTCCTGAGCTATCTGTGTGGTGGGTATCGTGTGATGACCCGGAGAAGGTGGTGAATGTGGTTTGTTTGGGCCTTTCGGGTAAGAGTGGCCGCTGGTGTTGTGTGTTCTTTTTAGAAGTTACGAATTCTGTACCTTCACGGCGAGGCTGGGGGTATTTATATAATTCTGCCGGAATTGAGCAGCGCTGCTGATTGGCTAAGGTGAAAGGCGGTAACTGGCCAATCACCGCGCAGCCCTGGACGGCTCTGCTCTGTGCTTGCTGGCTGCTGCCCTGGACGGCTCTGCTCTGTGTGTGCTGCTGCCCTGGACGGCTCTGCTCTGTGTGTGCCGCTGCCCTGGACGGCTCTGCTCTGTGTGTGCCGCTGCCCTGGACGGCTCTGCTCTGTGTGTGCCGCTGCCCTGGACGCTCTCTGTGTGTGCCGCTGCCTGGGCAGCTCTGCTCTCTGTATGTGCTGCCTGGGCAGCACTGCTCTGTGCAGCTGCCCTGGTTGCTCTACTCTGTATGTACGCTGCCCTGGACGCTCTACTCTGTGTATACGCTGCCCTGGGCAGCTCTGCTCTGTGTGTGCACGCTGCCTGGGTACAGCTCCCTGTTCTCTGTGTGTGCACCCCCTGGGCAGCTCTGCTCTGTGTGTGCCGCTGCCCTGGGCACTCTGCTCTGTGTGCACGCTGCCCTGGGCGCTCTGCTCTGTGTGTGTGTGCTTACCCTGGGCGCTCTGCTCTGTGTGTGCCTGGGCCAGCTCTGCTCTGTGTGTGCCGCTACCCTGGGCAGCTCTACTCTGCTGCTGCCCTGGGCGGCTCTGCTCTGTGTGTGCTGCTGCCCTGGATGGCTCTGCTCTTGGTTTGTGTGGCTGCTGCTGCCCTGGACAGCTCTGCTCTGTGTGTGCTGCTGCCCTGGACGGCTCTGCTCTGTGTGTGCTGCTGCCCTGGACGGCTCTGCTCTGTGTGTGCTGCTGCCCTGGACGGCTCTGTGCTTGCTGCCCTGCAAATCTATAGAGCCATTAAGTTTCCATTAATAAATGTCATTATGTCTTTATTAACCTTTTCCAGCATTTACAATATTTTCAACTTTTAAAGAAAATTGACTAAGTTGAGCTTCAGATTTTGAAGCAAAATAATTTAATGAAATACTTGAAAAAAATATCTAATTCATTATATACAAATGAAAAAGATATATAAACTTGAAAAATAAACATATATATATATATATATATATATATATATATATATATATATATATATATATATATATATATATATATATATATATATATATATATATATATATGTATGTATGTATGTATGTATGTATGTATATATATATATATATATATATATATATATATATATATATGTATGTATATGTATGTGCAAGTAAATCACTGTAGGTGCTCGTGATCCAGGTATATGCTGATGACCACAAGGAAAGAAGAAAACACGAAGTTCTAAGTGCTTTCCTGTAATTCACACCTTCAGGGGTGAGTACAGACTAAGGAGTAATACAAACCAAGGTGTATATATACAGAGGAGGGTCCACAATGGTCAGGTAATGACCCTACTAATCTTTAAATAGCGCACAACGGTTGGTGGTCACCTTACCGGTAAGCGTTCCCTAGTCCCACCCAGTAGGTCCAGGGTTCGATTCCTTGCTGGCGAGGTCGTTGATTATATGTTCAAAGTCCGCCTGTTATATGGACTAAAAATTAAGTATATAATATATATATATATATATATATATATATATATATATATATATATATATATATATATATATATTATATATATATATATATACTTTAAGCAGTGTGATGTGGTCGTGGTACTGGGAGCAACATCAGACCGTCTAATCAAAACAATAGACCTCTTGTTCTCAGCAGCAGATACAGCACTAAATTATTTGATCAGTTTATCACCCATTTTAGGCCCTTATTTAGGTCATTTGGAGTCATAAAGTCCCTAAAATATTACCCTAAGAGTGTTTACCTAAGTGTCAACTCCCTAAGATAAAGGTAAGATGAGTTTATGGGGAGTAAGAGGTGTGTGAAGGTCATTTTGGGTGAGGGAGTGAGAGGCAGGGAGAGGTTGAGAGGGAGTGGAAGGCAGGGAGAGGTTGAGAGGGAGTGGAAGGCAGGGTAAGGTGGTGAGAGGTTGAGAGGGGGTGGAAGGCAGGGTAAGGTTGAGAGGGAGTGGAAGGCAGGGTAAGGTGGTGAGAGGGAGAGATACAAGCATTAGCTCTAGAAGTAATAAAATAATGTGGGTAAAGGTGTAGGAGACAGTTAGTACCACAAGGACTTTATGGAATTTAACCAAATTTTCAGAAGTTGACATAATTGTAATACAATGGAAACGAGAATACACAGAACCTTACCTAACCTGACCTACCTAACTTTATCCGACCTACCTAACCTTATCCGACCTACCTAACCTTATCCGACCTACCTATCATAACTTCCTAACCTGTGCATAACATCTCTAGTAAAATGGTTAAATTCTATCCAATATAAATCATAATTGACACCCTATCAGGATTGTCGTTGGTTTCTTGACATTTAAACAAAGACTGCGGACAATGTGAACCAAAACACAAGGCAGCTGACGTGAAATTACTGCCATACCATCGGTGTTAAAAGTGTTTCTTCTCCATTATTTTCCTCTTTCATCCACTAACAAGTAATTTATGATTGGTAAGAAAAATACTACACTACAGTATTGTTATTATTAATGTTATTGCTTATTATCTTCTGTAGAACAACTGTGGACAATATGAACTAGATAATGTATTGAACACTTTAACTCTGTTCCAACTTTATCATTATTTTTTATATACAATATTCATGTTTAATTTTCTTCTTAAAACTTTGGGTAATACTTAAGACGATTATTAATTATTATTCTTTTTTTAGATGTTTTGGTGTGGCAATAATCAAGATGACTGAGCCACAGGAAGGAAGCTCTTTACCTGCACCTGAAACATCTACAGACAAGGCACTAGTGGAAGAAGCACTCAGTTGCATCAACACTCACACACAACTGAAGCCTGTACCCTCACTAAAGCGCAAGTTGTGTTGCCATCCTGCAGCCATATCACCATTGTATGAGGCACCCAAGAGAACATGGTTAGAGACACCCAGACCAACAAACGTGGCACCCAAAAGAACATGGTTAGAGGCACCCAGACCAACATGGTTAGAGTCACCATCAACATCAGTTGAAGAGTCACCCACAACATCAGCAGAAGAGTCACCCACAACATCAGTGAAAGAGTTACCCACAACATCAGTGGAAGTGACCCCCTCAACATCAGCGGAAGAGTCACCCACAACATCAGTGGAAGAGGCACCCACAATGTCAGTGGAAGAGTTACCCACAACATCAGCAAAAGAGTCACCCACAACATCAGTGGAAGAGTCACCCACAACATCAGCAAAAGATGAATACAGTGAACTAACGGAAGAGGCACTTAGAAAACTAGCGGAAAAGACACTCAGGAAAATGGTGGAAGAGGAACCCAGAAAACTAGTGGAAGAGGCAATCATAAAACTAGTGGAAGAAGCTCCCAGAAAAGCAGTGGAAGAGTCATTCCATGGACTAACAGAGAGGAAACTGAGGAAAATAGCGGCTCGGGCGTTCAGAAAACTAGTGGAGGAGGCACCCAGAAAACTAGTGGAAGACACACTGAAACTAGTGCAAGAGACACTCAAACTAGCAGAGGAGCCGCCCAAAAACCTGCGCTCAAGAAAGTCCAAGGTGAGTCTTAGCTTACTGCTGCTGTTGGGGTATTATTCTGTATTGTACTGTACTGTATTGTACTGTAATGTATTGTACTGTACTGTAATGTATTGTACTGTATTGTACTGTACTGTACAGTAAAGGGTCACATCAGGGGTTAAAACGTGGTGTTTTATGAGTTAATATACTGTATTGTACTGTAGTGCAGTACATATAGATGTTAAGAGTGATGGTGAATACATCAACCGTGGTGCTTTATGGTGACTTGTGGTAAAGTACAGTACTAAACTTTATACCGCTACTCCTCGATTTACGTCCACCTGGACATACGACCGCCCCAGTCATACCAAAATTTTGTCAAATTACGTATTTTTGAGTCCCGACGTTAGTGATTGTGCTGTGTACTGAACTGACAAAATATTCGTTTGTAATTCACTTTAAAATGGCTGGCAAGCTTAAAAGTGAGAGTTTTGTGGTCCTGAGAAGAAAAAGAGACACCCATTTTTGATGTTCTATGTATTATTTAAGCATTTTCGACTTGTGTCGAGGAGTGGCTGTACTATATTACAGTATGTAATTATTCTGCCAACACCTATATTTTTACTATATTATATAATTATTAAATTAAAAGCTTTATTTTTTCCACATTAGTTTATCTGCAGAATTTTCCCTTTAGTTCATATTTAACCCATAGATGGTCAATTAATTTAACCTAAATCTTAAAACAACTCCAGAGGTTCCCGTAACGACACAATAAAAACCACACCTATAACCTCGTTAAATGGTTTAGAGGTCCCAATCATTGTTGCCACCACTTATGTTATTTACTTATCAATATATCATTAGTTCTATTTAATATACACCATGTAGTACTGGAGGTGACAACACACCAACATGGTACTGTATTCCTCCCTTCACCACACACACACCAACATGGTACTGTATTCCTCCCTTCACCACACACACACACACACCAACATGGTACTGTATTCCTCCCTTCACCACACACACACCAACATGGTACTGTATTCCTCCCTTCACCACACACACACACCAACATGGTACTGTATTCCTCCCTTCACCACACACACACCAACATGGTACTGTATTCCTCCCTTCACCACACACACACACACACATATACTGTATTGGTTCTAGGACATTGTTCGTTATAGCATTCGTTCGTTATAGGATTAATCCGTTCCAGGCCCCCAAATACAACCACTTAACACTGAAAAATATAATATAAAATTGTAAAAATTGTAAAAAAAGTGCATAAATATGCTTCTAAACCCCTGAAATAAAGAATATCATTAATACTTGTAATAAAAAAAACAATAAATTAGTAAAAAAAAAAATAATAATTAAATAATGTTCGTTCTAGGAGTTTCGTTCGTTATAGCATTCTCAATTTTATAGGTAAAACCGTTCGTTATAGGAATATTCGTAGTAGGATCCATTCGTTATAACATACCCCACTGTACTGTATTCCTCCCTTCACCACACACACACACCAACATGGTACTGTATTCCTCCCTTCACCACACACACATCACCTTATCTCCACACATTCATCTATTTAAAGCCATAAGTTGCCAAGTCATATAGAATGAGTTATACTATGGGAGCCCTTACTAATGCCTACAGTATCCTGCCTAAACATGAGGTAAACCATGCCACTAACCAATCAGCATATGACAAGGGGTAATGTAACTTATCTCAGTGATCATTAATAGGTTAAGGATTTTTACCTGTGAATTAATCCTAGAACATGTTCACTACAGGAAAAGTGTTTCGTGCTATTCGTGAACTGTACTCACCGTAAGATCGACGTGTGCTGGATCAACTTCAATGGTATAAGCAAGAAGTATAAGGTAAGATGTTGGGTTCCTGTGTACAGACCTGTGTACAGAATTCTTAAGTGTATTAAGATCAGGTGAAGATTAGCCACCCTCACTTAACCTGACCTGATCATATATATACCTAACCTAACCCCCTCAGCAAGCCTTAGTGTGTTTAATCATGTGTAATAAACTAGGAGGGTCTAATATGTAAATGAATTAAACTAGAACGAGCTATTCTTTATGTGTAATAAACTAGGAGGGCTAATATGTAAATGAATTAAACTAGAACGAGCTATTCTTTATGTGTAATAAACTAGGAGGGCTAATATGTAAATGAATTAAACTAGAATGAGCTATTCTTTATGTGTAATAAACTAGGAGGGCTAATATGTAAATGAATTAAACTAGAATGAGCTATTCTTTATGTGTAATAAACTAGGAGGGTCTAATATGTAAATGAATTAAACTAGAACGAGCTATTCTTTATGTGTAATAAACTAGGAGGGTCTAATATGTAAATGAATTAAACTAGAACGAGCTATTCTTTATGTGTAATAAACTAGGAGGGCTAATCTTCAGGTGTAATAAACTAGGGGGGCTAATCTTGAGGTCATTCAAAGCTAACACATATTCTTCCACCAGACTTTGTACCCGGGAAATCAGGTAGAGATCCAGACCTACGTGACTCACCCCTGGGTCTTCCGAGACACAGAGACAAGAGCTGCCTTTGTGATGGACTCAGAGAGGGTGTTCTTCCCCAAGGTGAGAGATGAAGTCACAGCTGTAGGGTCCTGTACAGCGACACGTAAAATATATTTGTTGACGTTTTTACTCATCTAGAATAACAACCTTATACAGCTACTCCTTGACTTACAACTACGACCGCCTCAGTCGTACCAAAATTTTGTCAAATTATGTATTTTCGAGTCCCAACGTCAGTACACAGACAAAATTTTCGTTTGTAATTCACTTTAAAATGGCTGACAAGCTTAAAAGTGAGAGTTTTGTGGTGCTGAGAAGAAAAAGAGACACCCATTTTAGTTTTTCTATGTATTATTTAAGCATTTTCGACTTACGACCAATGCGACTTACGACCTGGATTTGGGTCCCTAACCCCGTCGTAAGTCGGGGAGGAGTTGTACAGTATACAGTATATGCAGTAAACCTTCGAAGATCCGGATTTCGTAAGATCCGGAAAAGAATTTGTGGGTTTCTGGGCTAAGAAGCCTCCTAGAAGTTTCCCTAAGAAACATTCCCAAACCAGAGCAAAGAACATTTTAGGGCCGTGGGCGCTGCTTGACCCGTCAGTTGCTTGGTGCCCGAGGAGGTGGGAAACAGTTGTTGTTTGTGGTAATATTATTTCACTCACTCTAGTAATGATACAATGTTTCTTATAATGTTATCACAGGTAAATGCTTGGTTTATATAATTTATTTATCACTACATTAGTACTGTATTTTGGGTGTTTCTTATAGGAGGGCTAATCTTCTGGTGTAATAAACTATGACATATTCTTCCACCAGACAATAATTCCAGGACAACACAGGGTCAACACTTATGGTAAACTCCCCTGGTTCTTCCATGATTCAGAGACAGTTACCTTTGTGATGGACTTAGAGGAGGTGTTCTTCCCCAAGGTGAGAGATGGTGTCACAGCCGTAGGGTCGTGTACAGCGACACTTAAAATATATCTGTTGGTGTTTTTACTCATCTAGAATAACAAACTTATAAATTTTAGTCGTGGAATTTGAGCATCAGGATGAGTGTCATACTTAAATAGACAGACAGATTGAAAGATAGTTTCCTTATCTCTGTACACCTTCCAGTGATGTACAGACTCCGTTAATTAAGGTTATTTTCAGCCTATTTTACAAGAGGAGTTGACGGTGGATGATGAGGTCAGTTTCCACCACCCACCAGTCTTCATCTACAGTCCTTTCTACACTCTGAAGGCTCTGGCAGCACAGGTGGGTGATCCCCGAGAGACGTAGAGTGAGGGGCGAGGTGATCCAGATGTATAAATGGAAGTCAGGGCTAAACAAAGGTGATTTAACAATAGTACTCAAACTATCCAATCAGGAGCGAACTCGTAGCAATGGTTTTAAATTAGACAAAGTTAGATTTAGGTGTGAGATAGGTAAACATTGGTTTGGAAATAGAGTTGTGGATGAATGGAACAAGTTACCAAATATCATCATTATGCTGGATAGCTTCAAACATAAGTTGGATGGATATATGAGTGATAGGGGTTGGGTGTTACGGGACTGACCAGTATGGCACGCTGCAGTTTCCTCCATTCTTATGTTTGTCGGCTTTGACAAGGTACCAGAGCCTCATATTGAAGCTTCCATCCCCATCCTGTTAGCCATAAATTGTTATTGGTGATTGTCCTCCATGGTACCATTTACTATCTGAATATTCACTCCTGATGGAAGCTTCTCTGGCACAAACTTAGACCTGTCAACTGAGTACTTCATGAAATAGTTGTATACATTCTCACACCAGCATCAGAAATTTGTTCTTTTGTCGAGTCACTAGTACCAATAATTTTATCCAAATTCGTATCATTCTCAGACAGTTTAAGCTTTGTAATGATGGCAGCCAACCCATGACCATGTGTGGCAGATGTAGGATGGCAGCCAACCATGACCATGTGTGGTAGATGTAGAATGGCAGCCAACCCATGACCATGTGTGGCAGATGTAGGATGGCAGCCAACCCATGACCATGTGTGGCAGATGTAGTATGGCAGCCAACTGTTATTAGGCCCCTTATGTTACAGAATTTGAGTCGTCTTCTCTGATCTTTCCCACTCTCTGTGCTTTATGTATTTATAAAGTAATTCTCTGGTATCAATATCATCAGCACTTACTGCCATGGTCCCAACAGCAGCTCCTTCCTATTCATGTTTCACAGCTGTTGCATCACCGTCATCTTTGGCCAGCTCGACACGGTGTTCATCTGATTCAAGTACTCAACATTGTTCTGTACTGTAATGAGATAAATTGAGATGAATTTTTTATCATTTCTACATTATACTAATTATTCTATGCTATGGTTAATTTTGGGCTATTTTGACTTTACTATAAAACAGCCTGAAACTAACCTAAGCTAACCCAACCTACCCTAATATAATCTGACCTATTACTAATCAAATCTAACCAAACACTAACCTAATCTAACCTAATACTAACCTAATCTGCCCTAACACTAACATAACTTAACCTAATCTAACCAAACACTAACCTAACTTAACCAAACTGAAAATCGTCATAAATGGTCAAAACATAACTGATTGTGTTTTCCATCCCCAGGTTGTTGGTTCACTGTTACCAAACCCTGAGGATGCCTACGACCTCATCATTCCCCGAGTACTCATGAACACCGTCGCTAAGTCAGCCTTTCGAAAACATCACATCAAATACATTTAGTTTATAATTTAGGTAAGGCAAAAGTTGTTCTTTTAATATACAGACATGCAACGCTTAGCAATCGTTCACTTAGTTATATTTAGGGGTATAGCGATTTAAAATTATTTACACTATTTGTTGTTTAACAATATGTAATTTTGGGTTTAGTGATCTTTGACTCACTGGGAAAATTTTGTGAGGGAAGTTGGAAAGACTGGGAGTTGTGTGCATCATTGTGCTGCTATAATGTGGTTTAGAGGTGTAGCATTGAGGGAGGAACACCAGGCAGGGGAAGCATACATGAGCTTGGGATGTATGAATATACAGTACAGGTATATACACATGTATATGTGTGTATATGTATTTTCCTTGGTACTTCAGAGTTCACAAAAGAATGGTATATCAAACTTATGTACAGTATTTTTAATATTCATAATGTTAAAAACACAGATACTGAGTGGATAATAATAGCAATATTAACATGGCTGAGCCAGTTGAGAACCTGAGCTGCACCTGATATATACTGTACATTTATCTCAAAGAAGTATTATGTAACATTTAGTATCATCTGGAATAGTACAACAGCATGGTGGTAATAACAACATCTCACCACGGTTATCACTTCATTATTTATTTATTTATTATATTTGTTTTAGTTTATTTATTTATTTTTATTATAAGCATAAACTGTACACAAATTACAGTGGAATTGAAAAACATAAGTATAATGGGGGAGCAGTACAACATGGGCCGTACAGTCTTAAGGTTGAACAAGAGGACAGAGCTGTCAGGATTATGTCTAGTTGGCAATTATGTTTATTGCAATGGTAATTACTTATCTATTTACATGATAATTTCCGATAAAACGGTTTTGATGGTACAGCAAAGAACCTTGCTGTATCTAGTTCTTCCTGTGATAGATTTATCAGCAACAGTTACCCGGTAATTATTTTCGTATAAAACTGACGATATTATACGTACAATTAATTGTTCTTTCACAAGAAACAAGAAAAACATTATTTTATTATGATGCTAAGTCATGCATTATTGTTGTCAATACAATTAACTATACAGTACTTTAGTCAACAACCAACCAAGCGGACAAAATGCCGCTCAGTTGAAAAAAACGAATATCTAGAATTTGTTCCCAAATTGTTCACTCTCTTTTGGTCATTATTTTATATATTTTTCATTGTTTTATTATTACATGGGTCAGTATAAGAGTGTACAGTACAGTACGTAGGTTATGGTGGCTGTATAATGTGGCCAGCATAAACAGTTTGGCTCTAAGTGATCTTAAACAACCCTTCCCCACATTGTGTTATACATACTGTACTGTACTGTACTGTACTGTACTGTACTGTACTGTACTGTACTGTAGTGTACTGTGCTGTACTATACTATAGAATAATACTAAATCATTATAGTAATATTATACAGGTATTATCATTATAAAAGTATATTTTTAAACTGTGTTAAGTTTGGGTGGTGTTGGTAGTTACTGAGACATTTATTGTAGTCACAGAAGGTAATTTATTATGCCATTGACACGTGTTGCTTACATGTTTAAATAGCACAAACACTTTATAAACACTCATATGGACACTTATAAAACACTTGAGAACACTTTTACAGATGATTATCATGTCTACAGAAAGGCATTATGGCATATTTTACAAAATTAATGGTTATAAATTTAAGTACTACAGTAGTATAAGTAAAATATAAATAAATAACTGAAAGCTTCGTAAACACTTCACAGGTTAATTTTACCGCAGTGGACGGCACAAGAGTCTGGGGTGGATATCAAGAGACAGGATTTACAGACCTCGCTCACTAACCTGCCGGGACAACACTCATGGCTCCACGTTCTACGGACTGTCGCCAAGTATGGTGTCGGAATGACTCGCCAAAATCTCAGGCGTCGGTTAATTACTGGATTGATGATTTGGCCGTCAGTGTCAATTGAAAGAGATTATCATTGATGCTTGTGCACGTCAGTGTTTAAAACGTTCACAACTCAAATAATTATCAAAGTCAATAAAATAATTATACAGTGTTATTTTGTACACCATTTCATCTTTTTATTTTATTATGTACGGAAGTTATTAATAAATTTTTCAACATATAACTTTTAATTATTTCAGTCATACCGGATTTATCTGTCTGTCTGTCTATCTGTGGCTGTCTATATCTTTCTATACATTTTGGCCGATAAGAAATAGTGAACATAAAACAATATATCTGCGAGGCGTCAGATATATAATGTTAAAATATTACTCGACCGTGATGTAAACTTATTTTGAAACAGGTAAATTTAACTTAACTAAACAAAGTGATGAATTAACAAATATAGAAATCAAGAATATATTTAATTGGACCATAAGAATGAGCTATGCTAATTACTTTTCCAAATAACAGCAAAATTATAATTATTAATAAATTATTAGTAAAACAAAACAATGTAAACTTAATATGAATAGTTTATGGTAATTTTAGAGTATATTTGGATAGATTTAATCACATATAGTTTTTAAAATAAATAAAAACAAGAAATAAGTAATATATGAATAAATTATTTACTAAAATACTACTTTATCTTGACACTACAGTAAACTAACTCAAAATTAACCAAAGTAATAAAATAAAAAAGTAATATAATTCTTCAAACTCTCAAACAATTTCCTATACATTAGTCCAAACACACCTGTACTGTATACCTGTACCATACACCTGTACTGTATACCTGTACCATACACCTGTACTGTATACCTGTACCGTACACTATACTGTATACCTGTACCATACACCTGTACTGTATACCTGTACCATACACCTGTACTGTATACCTGTACCGTACACTATACTGTATACCTGCACCATACACTATACTGTATACCTGCACCATACACCTGTACTGTATACCTGTACCATACACTATACTGTATACCTGCACCATACACGGATCTGTGCAGCATCTCTGAATGGGGAGATACAAACTTGGTTAAGTTCAATAGTAACAAAACTCAATATTTACCAATTACACTTTGTAAAGTAGACGATCTCCCACCAATTACATTTCAGGACGTTATCATCCTCCCAAATTCTGAAATAAATATATTAGGCCTCACCATTTCCTCCAATATGTCCTGGAAATCACACATCCTTAGCATAACTAAAGCTGCCTCCCGAAAGTTGGGAATGCTGTACAGATGCTGCAGCTACTTCACTCCTGAGCAGTTGCTCCAAGTATATAAGGGATTCATTCGTCCTAACTTGGAGTACTGCTCTCATATCTGGGGTGGCTCTTCTTCTGTCCAACTATTAGATAGGGTGGAATCAAAGGCATTTCGTCTTATTAACTCTCCTCCTTTAGTCGACAATCTCTCTCCCCTTTCTCTTCGCCGCAATGTTGCTTCACTCTCTCTCTTTTACAGGTACTTTAACGGGCAATGTTCAGTGGATTTGGCATCCTGTGTACCGCCGGTAAGGCCGTGGGTTCGTAACACACGTCTTGCCCGCGGTGCCCACCATTTCTCTGTGGATATCGGTCACACGAGAATAACCCGTTATAGTACCTCACACAGCCAAACTGTGGAATGCTCTGCCTTCTTCTGTGTTTCCATGCTCTTACAATCTGTCTCACTTTAAAAAGCTGGTTTTCCGGCATCTTCGTGGTGTAGATTAATACAGTATAACCTTTTTTTCTATATTTTCAATTTCTTTCCGTTCTTTTTTTTTCGCCCCCCAGGCTCCGTTGTGGGTCGTTTGACCTGTGCCCGGGTGGGCTAATTCCCGTAAAAAAAAAAAAGTAGACATTAAGTAACTTACAAAAGTGTTTAAGATATCAAAGTAAAAAGAAATTATAATGGAAATAGTTTATTAAGTAAACTGGATAATAGTGAATCATCCTGAAGTACTGCTCTCATACCTGGGGTGGCTCTTCAACTGTTAGACAGGGTGGAATCAAAGGCATTTCATCTTATTAACTCTCCTTTAGGTGATAATCTTTCTTCCCTTTCTTTTCGGCACAATGTTGCTTCACTCTCTCTCTTTTACAGGTACTTTAACGGGCAATGTTCGGTGAATTTGGCATCCTGTGTACCGCCGGCAAGGCCGTGGGCTCGTAACACACGTCTTGCCCACGGTGCCCACCGTTACTCTGTGGATGTTGGTCACACTATAATAACCCGTTATAGTACATCCTTCTTTCCTCACACAGCCAAACTGTGGAATGCTCTGCCTTCTTCTGTTTCCATACTCACACAATCTGTCTCACTTCAAAAGTTGGTTTTGCGTCATCTTCGTGGTGTAGATTATTATACAGTAGTCTTTTTCTCTTATAATTTTAATTTCTTTTTACTCTTATCCCCCCCAGACCCGTTGATGGTTTATGACCTGTGCCCGGGTGGGTTATTCTCTGTACACAAAGTTTGTATATATAACATTTTGTTTTAAATTTATAAGAAATATTAATTTGTAATATATTCAAAGCTAAATGCACCAAATTATTATATTAGGGGTAAATGATATATATTTCTTCATCACTATTAAAGTGCTTCAGTAGCTGGAGTTCACAACTTTTGTTCTTAATTTTGTTCAACTTTGTCGTAATTACTAGTTTAAGAAAAAATAAAATAATATAATAATTGAACTCGCCTTAAAAACCTATTATTTTCTTCATAACTTCTGACTGGCCCGTCATCATAAAGAACATTTTGGTATTACGTGGATAACTACAAAAATATTGATCATTATTATTATTAAATTATACCTGCAATAATGTCTATATCGATAAGGTCTTTCACGTGTTTATTGTCTCCTACACATTTACTGAGTCTTAGCAATAATTAATTTCTAACATACATACATACATCCTTGATTAGCTCAGCAGAAAGGGTTAACAGCATTTCTCTCTGGTAAATTGTTTTTTGTTAAATGCAAATAAAGATACGAGGGTAATGTCATGGAAGAAAATTGTCTTAAAATTGTCTAAACCATCGGAAAATCACCTTGGAACATTGCTCAATTCAAGAGCCATATTGATTAGTCTGTAGCAGTTATTACAGTTTAAAGCTTTGCCTGATGTATAAGTGAAATAGTAATGTGTTAGGGTGTGTGACAACCGCCCATCAGGCAATATTTCTCGGTATCCCCCGTTCTACCGTCACCTCGGGTCCCATGCGGTCGGAGTGCCTTGCTGGGCGGCGGCCATTATCCCTGTGAGGGTCCCACCAGGTGGTGACTACTCCCAGCTATGCCAATCCACTGTGAACATGTAGATTCCCAGCACCCCACCCCAAATGAGTAGGAACAACTAAGGAAACGTTTGAGAAACTCCGCGGTCGTCATTTGGAGTGACCTATAATAGTCGGACTGCTGTCAACAGTCTCGAAGTTATCCAGAGGAAAGCTTCTCGTATCATCCTTGGGGCTCCTCAGTGGACACGCTCTACTTCTCTATATACCGAACTTGGTCTTTCCCCCTTACAGGATCGTGTCCAGGAGTTTTACCTAAAAACTACCGTTTCCATTCTACGGGATCCTCGGGGCAACTATGTCCAAGCCAACTTGACTCCTGCTGTCCGAGGCCGACCTCCATCTAGAAGACAGTGGCGAGGGTCACTCATCCGAGCCCTTCAGGAACATGACCTCCTGCCTGATATTGTTGTCACCCCTGCTGTTGGTTCGTCTCCTTCTCCCTGGCTGGATTTTCAACCTGAAGTGATTGCCCTCGGTGGACCACTCCCGAAATCCCACGTGAACCCTGTTATTCTCTGCAAATACCACCTCTCCAGGATTGCCCACTGGTCCCCAGGTAGGGTCGTCCTCTACACTGATGGTTCTTTTGACCCCGCTACAGGTCGGGCCGGGGCTGGTGTCTACATCTCCCGTCCTGATGCCCCTGAGCCTATCAAACTGTCTCTCAGAGTTTCTGACGGGGCATCCTCCACTCAGGCTGAACTAATAGCCCTCCTTGCTGCCCTTCTCGATGAGGAAGAAGCAGACGGTTTCTGCCTCTTGCTTGTCTGCTGCGATTCCAGGTCTGCTCTCGATGGGATCACATTTGGATCAGGGAAAAATAAGGACCTTATCCTCCGAATACGAGGGTAAACATCCACACTTCAGGATGCAGGCCGTCCTGTGACATTCCTATGGGTACCCAGTCATGTCGGTATCTTGGGGAATAGGGCAGCAGATGGCCTTGCCAAGACTGGCTGCAACAAGGCCACACCTGACTACATTGTTCCTCGAGTACTTTTACAGCTTAGGACCCAAATTCGCAGCAAACAGAGAGAAGCTCGGGAAGCAGCCATCCCCCTGGACTCCCCGCCCACCTGGTACGATGTCCTCCGTAATCTTCCTGACCTCTCGTACGTCTATGGGAAAGGGTCGCAGAAAAGGGACGTGATTGCTGCCCGTATCATCATTGGGTATGACTTTGCTTGGGAGATTGGTATCCCCACATCCCCTGAGCAACGCTCTTGTGCATTATGCAGAAGACCCGACAGCCGCACCCTTATCCACTACCTCCTAAGACGTCCCCGCACACAACGCTTCCGTGACGCCTGCTGGACCACGACCCCCTGACGATGATCCTCCCCATACTGGCCAGATATTATGTAAATAACATTGATTATGTGTTAAAGGAATATCCTTCCTTTCTTAGGCTTTAGTAAGCCCCTTTATAATACAGTATTCATACTGTATATACTTGTCACACTTGCCAGATGTTTCTGCTGTTATTGTACAGGGGTACCTAGTGACAGCACTAGGATCCCGCTTCCTCTATTAAGGAATAAACAATTGAAATTGAAATTGAAATAGAACCTTAATAAACAACGCGGCAATGCTCAACCCTAGCCACCTCCTTATCATGGGGGACTTTAATTATGGCGACATCGACTGGAGAAACGAGTCCACCCCAAATGACTTGAATAACCCTGCTACTCTTTTTGTAGAAACTCTGAGAGATAATTTTCTGTTCCAACATGTTAGAGACCCGACACATTACAGAGGGGAAGCAAACACCCAAGTCACTTGACCTCATCATAACAAACGAGGAGGGTATGGTGGCCTAACTGCAACACCTTGCCCCAGTTGGCACCAGTCACCATACAGTGTTGTCATT